AACTTCCTGCACAAGCTGTGCTCATTCCAAAAGTACCTAAAGTTCTTACTAAAAGAAACTGAAATACCAAAATGTCTTAAAATTTAGTAATTTTTCGTGATAATTAAAAATTTCTGTGATCCGAACACGAATGCATTACGTAAATAAATTAATTTTGAACATGGCAGCCATTTTTCGGGAAACCAATAGGAAATTAACTAATTTTACAAACTGTACCGTGTGACATATCAAATGAAAAAGGGTCTCAAATATTTTTTTTTTATAATTTTAAAACAAATAGTTTTAAAGTTATTTCTCGGATTAGGGTTCCGTATGTCCGAATGAAAAACGAAACCCTTGTAGGGCCACTCGTGTGTCTGTCTGACCGTTTTTTGAAATAAAATGTAAAGGGAAAATAAATAAATAAATAACTTTTTTAACCTGTTAATTGTAGATAACTTAAAATAGTAGTTTTTAAATGAATAAAGTGAGTATTTTGGTCAGTCAATAGCATGCTTCGTTCGAAGGACACACGTCTCCTTTATATCGAATATTTCATGCAGCCAAGTGCACTTATAGCGAGAAACTATACGCCTCGCACGGCAATATATTTCCGAACCATAAAATCCGAAACTCGAAGAAAACACTAAAGGAAGAAATTACACGCAACTATAAACTTTACCGTCGACCAAACCCGTGTAACTAAGTTTCAGAGTTGCGGATTAACACATAAAGATAATAAAAAACTAAAATTTATTCACTATTTATTTACGCGATATTTTATTTCGATTCAAATTAATGTTAAGTTCCTGTAATTGAATAAAATACGCGACGAAGATTAATTTTTTTATTTATTTTCTACACCGTACTTTATTAGTTTACCAACACCTACCTACGTTGCACATAACGATAGTTGCAGGGTTCAGGAGCTATCATGTGATGATTCTGCCATCATATCCGAGACAATTAAACAGAATAATATGCCTACGTTGGGAAATGAAGACATGAAGTTATTGAAATCACAATTCCAAATAGAGAGCGGCCAATTAGGCTTTTAATTAGAAAGCCTGGTCGCGAATCAAAGGCATCTGCTACGTGATTGCAAGCCAGAGTTCGACTGCACATGTCCTGATATGAAATAATTAAAACTAATGGCGACTACGCGTAACGCATAAAAGACGTAAATAACTGAGACTGTCTTTGAAAAGTGGAAATTGTAATTTATTTCATGCTCTTGTGAATTTATCTGTTCTTGCGGTCCGATGATTTATGAAGAATTTCGATTTGTTATTTAATACTTTATTCTTTTTACAGACTGCCTGCTTTACAATTGACAGCATACTCTACTGTCAGAGAAACTTTGTAACTTTTTAATAATCAGTTTCAAAGGCGGAAAAGTCAGTTTCACGAGACAGCATTGTATATGTATCTATATCAAAGTTTTTGCGGGCAATTCCTTAATCGCAAACTGAATTAATGTATCGGACATAAAAATTTTTAACACAAAAGTTATTTCCAAAACGAAAGCTTGCCGCTTTAACGCCATTTGGAATCGACACTAACGATTTCTTATGACACTAAGTATTATTTATTTTATAGATTAATATCACGTTATTAACGGTGCGAGATTTAAAGAAAATTTATCACATAATACTTTATATATCGATTGATAGCAGTCGAACAATTCAAACTGGTTTTAATAATACGTAAAAAATTTCTTGCTAGCTCATTTAATAGTAGGTAAGGTAAATTCCTGAAAAACCGCCCCGGATTACGGACGCTTTTTTTGTACTGGAGTTGATTCACTGCAATTAGCAATTCCACGGAAGATTAATACTAAAAAAATCGAGTGGGATATCTATTTCAAAGCAGTCTAGTGCATAAGGCGAGTTTTAAACAGTAATGGATCTAAAGAAACACAGGTTGCAAAAAGATATACATCATTAACTATACATGTCAACGGCTTTTAATCGCTAGTATTAAAGATCCGGAGTCTTAATTATGCAAAACACGACTTTAATATGGCTATTTTTAAAGCTGAACTTCTCCGCCTAGGTTTCCGCCTGTTGGCGAGAAGATATACGATTCGGGGCGACAAAATGTCAAATGTAATTTATTACGCGGAAAAGGTCAACGATTAAAACCGATGCAGTTTCGTACATAACCTGTTTATAATGCAACAAAACCACCTGCTGTACATTCGATCGTACATAATACGAATAACAATATCATCTTGAGGACACTTCGAATCCTACGTGCGTACCACTTTCACACATCATCTACCCATCCAACCGTAATTACATCCAAAAACGGCGTATTCGTTTTCACACGTCTCTAGCGTATTCGCTTGTTTTTATTTTTTAATATGCAACGCCATTTTACATGATTTAACAAAGCTGTAGTAATCGAACTGGAAACCTTATACACAACATGAGAAATACCTAAACCTAATTCGAAAACTTGCAAATATGGACTAGGGTAGTTTATATATAGTACTAGATTTTCGTTGATGTCCCAAATACATCGATGACCACATAAAACTAAGCAAAATAATAATATGGGAGTTTTCAGCAGCGACAAGACACAGCGGCGAAGTCTTTGTAGTTATGCATCTATTGATTCACGAATTTATCGGTAACACAGACCGAGCGGCATGGCCTAGAGGTTTAGACCATTGCTTAGCATTCGGGAGGACGCCGGTTCGATTCCGGGTCCGTCTGCCTTGGTCCAAGTTTTTCTGTGATTTCCTTGGATCACTCAGGCAAATGCTGAGGCAGTAATATTCCACAGATAATCTTTCATTCTCTTGTCGTCATTTCGTCCGTCTCATCTTTCTTACCCGAACCACCACCCACCCATTCCCACGATTCCTGAAAGCAGGCTGAAGAGGGCCTTCCGCCCTACCTTTCGGCGTAGTCCGGAGGGACTGCCCGCCCATCAGCATTACTGGCTGGTCGGAATGAAACACCCAAAAGTTTTTTTTTAGTTTCGGTAATACTTTGACAGCTTTCTTGAAACGGAATTTTTCAATGCGATAATTATTATTGATCACTAACGCATGAAGTTATTGGTCCAAAATGCTTAATTGACCATCCATTAATGGGGGTAAATACCAGAAAATTGTCATTGCGCCCAATCTTATTATTATGTGGATTTTCCAGCAAGACTTCACTGCCTGCTCACAAAGCAAAGCTCAATGGAGGACAACGTTTCAGCGTTGATCTCCCTTAATATGTGGTCAAGCAGCAGCCCTGATCTCAATCCCTTAGCTTACGCATTTTGGACCAAACTTCAAGTGTTATTTTATATTTTTATGCGTTGAAAAATTCCATTATGATAGGTGTCAAACAATAATTAGAGGTAGGTACGATTCGTGAATAAATACAAGATGCGTGGCAAGAAAGCGTCGCGGTTGTGTTGCTACTGAAGCTTTTACATTGAATACATCATACATGGTTTTGCAGCTTTTTGCAACAGCTTTCCAACAATACGGAGGTTGATTGGTGATGTACGATAGCTTGTTTTTATGTAAGAAGCAAACAATTTACTGACCATGGTCATATCACTGACAGAACTTTAGGCACTATCTACTGTATAATCTATTAAGAGAAAAAACGAAAATGTAGAAAAAGATAATTACGACTCTGGTGTAACAAGACATACAAAACTACATCTAATACAATTATTCTTTTATCGGCTTTTTAATAATTTTTAAACCATATCAGTAAAATAAGCTTCAGGTTCGAGTATACATTAACCCCTGTAATAATAACTAATTTTTATGATGTACCTACAGCAGATTATAGTCAACAGTGACATTTTTTAACATAAGCTATTCAAACGAGCATCGGTTGCCAAATGAAAGTTTGATTAGTAAGGAATTAATCCATTTAATTCGTTTGATATGCAGCAAAGTTTTGCGATTAGAGCGGTAATGACAACCTATATACGTCAATCAAACCATATCACGTCAGTAATTAACGAGATTTCACTATATGACAAGCCCTAAACTGCCATTTGCAACATCTAGCTCACAAAAAAAAACGCCAAACGCTATTATTAGGAAAACATCGACATAAAAAATATGTCTACCGGTTGCAAAGAAACTACGAGTATAATTATCATGATATAGTGTTAGTTATATACTGAAATCAAATTGAACCAAAACTAAGCAAAAAGCAAGAAAAGATCTTTAAATTTCCTTTAACTGTTATTCTACAATTAATTCGAAACGTGTGGGAGTGAGTTCAATAACGTATTCAATATAAATCAACGCAAGAGCGAATATACGCGAAGGAGTCAAGGCTCTCAAGTTGCTTATCGATACGTCGAGTCGTCGTTCGATCGGTAACAAAAAAGAAAACAATTAATTGTTTACCTGCCAAAAACGCGCAATAAATGTTACCATGAGAAAAAGTGGAAACATTAAATAAACTTTCTCTGCGTTTATTCGTTCAGGAAAAAAAAATTATCCGAGCCGCATCTTCACCATTTCCATCGAAAACGAAAAGTATTCACTCTCTCGACGACTCGAAAGAGGTACGCCGTTCAAAATTAGGGCGCCACTTTCTGTAATACGGAAGGCAACAAATCGTCATTAATTTTGACTTTTTATAAATTCGAAAGTCAACAACGGTAACATTGTAAACGCACATTTAAATGGCTCTTAATTAAATTTAAGAAAACGAAATTATAAGAACGACCATTGTAAACGCAATACGTTCCTTGCTACTTACAACAGGTTCAAATAATCATTAACAGAAGAATCTATCCTAATTTTCTATGCAAATTTTTTTGACCTGAATGCACTTGAAGAAATACTATACTTCCTTATTTGCCACGTAGAGTTTCGGTCGAAACCCTCACGGTAGGTGGCCGCCTACCTGCATCAGGAAGTCATACCCATGTATACTGATTTAGCACTAGAAGCGCGTTTGTTATTCTAAGTTACACCGCCAACTTGTCCAAGTGACCTCGCTAATTATGATATTGCAACGTGAATAGGAAAAAGTTAGTCCTACCTTTAAAATGCAGCGTCCTATCCTTTCATTTTCCGCCACCGAAACGTTGTAGAAACTCTGATCGAAGATGGGCTCGTTGTCGTTCACGTCATGTATCGTCACATTCACTATAGCCGTCGAAGACAAGGGCGGAAACCCGCTGTCCGTAGCGACAACCATCAAAATCGGCACAGGGTCCGTTTCACAATCAACATGCGCACGAGTCGTCACTAAACCACTTTTTGAGTCTATCTGGAACCAGGACGAGTGATTCTCCTGGTTCTCTTCCAACGAATACGATATCGCACTGTTATTACCTTCGTCCTTATCGTGGGCGATCACTTGTATAACCGACGTACCGGGATCGGATACTTCCATCACGTTCGCATAGTAAATTTTCTGTTCGAATTCGGGAGCGTTATCGTTGATGTCGGTAACCATGAGATTTATCGTTTTAGATGCATGAAGGGGTGGCTTACCCGTGTCGGTTGCAATGACACTTAAAGTGTAATTTGGCTGACTTTCTCTGTCAAGTGGTAGTGATACTATCATCAAATATATGATGTTGTCTCTCGTGGTTAAGCCAAAATGTCCCTCGCCTCCGTTTAATGTGACGTTCATGTTTGAATATTCAGTTTTCGAGTCGGGATCGTGGACTGAAATTCTGGCAACAAATTCGCCTGGTTGCGCTGATTCAGAAATTTTCGGGGTGGCATCATCGCTCAAAAATATTACGTTAATGATCGGCTGGTTGTCATTTACGTCTGTTACTTTGATGGATACGAACGTTGTAGTTTCAAGAGGTTGTAGACCGTGGTCTCTAGCTACCACTACAATCTCATGCATTTCTTTCACTTCATAATCCAATGGCTTGTTAACAGATATCACTCCCGTGCTGGCGTCGATGCGAAATATGTTATCCTTGTCGCTCTGCCGACGATTAATGGAGTACTCCACCTGACCGTTTTCTCCAATGTCACTGTCCGTCGCAAACACTTGCAGCACACTTGTACCGACCGTGGCGTTTTCTTGTACACTTGCAAAATATCGAGTCTGGTTAAAAACGGGCTGATTGTCGTTAACATCTTGTATAGTAATATTTACAGTCATTTCGCCCCTTAACGGCGGACTTCCTCCATCTAAAGCTTCGATTACTAAACTGTAGTAAGGAGTAGTCTCCCTGTCGAGGAAACCGTTTATTTGGAGATCCAAGTATAACACGCCATCCCGTTCCCGATGGGACGATAGTCTAAAGGCACCGTTGACGTTTCCAGATACGATGTTGTACTTTTGAGTGTTGTATATCCCCAAATCGGCATCCCTTGCAGGATGAAGGGTTCGTTTCACGTCTCTGGGAGTATTTTCTGGAAATTCTATGTTCATAACCGATGTAGGAAATGTGGGTGCGTTATCGTTTTCGTCTAAAACTTTCACCACGACTCTAACGTTATCACCACTTATTGGAATCGCAACAAGAGAGTAACTAGCACGCGTCTCGCGATCTAAAGGCACTTTTGTTCGAATTTCACCGGTCGTTTGGTCTATCGATAAATCTGTATCTACAATACTTCCAAAGTCGGCAACTATCAAGTAAGGTGGACCACTATCTGAAGCTCCATCACCTATGAACCCTATCCTGGTTCCCGTGGGAGCACCTTCGGACACTTCAAGATCCCTCACGTGCTCACAGGAAACTCCCATAAGGAGCAACAGAAAGCCGAGCCAACGGCTGTCCATTGTGCCGCTGAGGCTTTCTATCGTGGAGGTTTAGACATTCTGGAAATAACAAAATTTGATATTAGTTTAAACACCACTACTTACAGGAAATTTTAGATGAGATGGTAAGTTATCAATTAAAAATAAAGAAAAGCGAACACCAAAATGACTGCGACGTAAATGAGTTGTACTATAAAAACTGAACACTTAATCATAGTTGACATTCCAGCATAGGTCGCTCAGCGGTGCAATGTTTACGAAGTTGTATTACCGTCGGGCAGAGTACGAGCTATGCATGGTTCCGCTACTTTTGTTGAACATCACGCACACTGCCACAGTACATAATAGACGTCAAAAGCACTTATGCTAGTTTTGCTTTCGTGCCGAAGCCAATGATCTTTGCAGGCGCCTAAGGTATCCCCAGGTACGCAGGTTTCATCCCCTGGCAGAGGACCGCTAATAAGCAGAACAAAACACTACTATCCCACCTGAAAACATTCCTCAACCGTTCCTAAATGTGTTTGTAATGGTTCCTCAATTTACCAGTTCTATCCCCCCGACGCTCACGATGAGTCGGCTATTCCGCAGTGCGCAGCCCACAAATGTATTATTGGCAAAAAATACGAAATCAATTAACTCCGCTTTGGTTTAATAAAGGAAACCGAAAATAATTACGCTTCACTCCACGAAAGTCTCGCGGTTTGTAGAAAGATTACTATTGTTTTGGTCGTTAGGTAGCACTTTACGGTAGAAAATAGAGGGAACAGTATGTCATAATTTCTCTTCACACGGTTCATTCGAACGACAGTGTCCACACAAGTTGCTGCACTTCGTGCATGATTGTAATGCAAGGGATTATTACATAATGAAGCATATTTTAAATGGTAACTGAGTTCGCACTAGGCATCTACTTAATCCTAGTGCAACTAAAGCGTTAACTGAAACATTATCCCGTAATTTTTTCTCACGGAGAAAGCGAGAGATCGGTTTACAAAAGACCACAAGTGGATAGATGAGACGACTCTTGACATCTTTACTTTTATCTTTTGATTGGTTACGTTATATTGGACGCATAGTTCTTACTTACACTTTCCAATGCCTTTCGATCAATCAAGAAAGAGTTCAATGGACAAACAGAAATGCTACAGATAGTAATCCTATTTAACAAGAGATTGCGCTTCACACTTTTAATTAAGCGGCGTCCATTTAGAGCCATTAACTCCTTAATGAACATATAAAATCATGTGTTCCTTTCATGGCTAGTATCCACTGGAACGCAGCATAATCCGTAATAACAACTATTTATATTCAATCATTGATTGTATATTCTGCACGATGCGTTTCCTTGATGTCGCTACTCTTGTTCCGATTTATGTTGTATTATATTGTCCCAAAAATATTGTTAACCATTTGATCGATTGATGTGGTTTGTTCTTGCTAATCACCTATTGATGAGGAACGCATTTCAGTTTCTCAAGCAAAGAATCCGAGTGAAGATTGTGCTGCAGATTATTTTCGGTAACATTGTACGTTTATTTTGACGCATTCATTGGGTTCGAAGCGCGAGAGCGCACGTCAGCGGCCAGCGACCAGAGCAGCTCGACGAACAAAACAGGGGAACAAAAAAGAGGAATTTTAAGAGTCGCAAGGCATTCAATTTAAGAGTCGAAGGAAGGAAGAGTTAAGTGAGCAAACAGTGCAGCACGCCCGGTTCCGTCCACACAACATCCTAAATATGTGACAGGTTTCATTTAAATATCTGTCATACGGGACACGTTTTTAAGTCAACTTATTAAATACCACTTGGTAATATTGTTAATCCCTTGAAATACCTCCGAAAAAGGATCATTTTACTGAGAAAACTACATTCCTACACTGAAACGACACTATCCACTATTTTCGATGTACAGGGATTATCGTAGTATAATTGCATGGTTTTGAGTTCATGTGTACATGCTACGCCACTCGTGGTTTAAAGATCAGCTTTACAGAAGACGCAGCGAACGGTAGCAACCTAGTAGTAGCTGCAGTACTAAGACGTGTTCTTGCCTAACATACCTGCGGAAAATTCTCGGCTACTGCGTGGAGCTGCTGGTGTTATCGTTAAAGGGTCAGTTACTCTGCTAAATAGAAAACGCGGAACTCGGACAACTCGTTGTTAATTAACGTAAGTCCCTTCTCTCATACAGGCTTTCAAACAACCGCTAAGTACTGTGAACCACAACTACGGATTCGTCTTAAACGCGTTCCGACCGGTCTCACAATTCGCTCGTTGCGGCGAACTGAACTGAACGGACTGCCGGCGGACCGATTGCCCTCCCCGCATTCCATTGCCGCCTCTCCTACCGCGCGCGCGCGCCAGCAACCTGTCTTACTTGGCCACAGTTCTGTACGAGTGTGGTACCTAATGTATAAGTGTATGGATACATGTGTGTGTACAGAGAAAAGGCAGAGGCACAGCATAGGCACAGGTAGGTATGAGGCCGATCGCGGCGGCAAGTTTGAAACGGAACGGACGCCCGACTCGCCCCATTGTCTACCCCGCAGAAACAAACTATTGTCTTGTCTATTCGCGACTGGAGGAGGAACCGAAAACCTGGGAAATTTCTGCTGCTTTAAAATAATTGTGTGTCGCACAATGCTCCATTTTATAAAAAAGGTCACTTTCCAAGTCGCCAAAGTCTCCAAATTCAACAGAAGTTGTCTTGATTTAGTTGTGCGTTCCCCGCCGTTAGACATAATTAAAAGCCGGACGGATTTCAGGACCACCATTAACGACTTAAAAAGTTAAAAAACAAACGCAAACTGAAACTGAGACCCCATTACCATAGCATGTTACTACTAAATGGTAGTTGGACTTTGCGACCACAAATTGTTACACTTACACCTTAGAAGCAAATGAGGTAGGTGCCATATGGCCATACGCTTCTCATAACTAGAGGGTGTTTCTGAAATAAGTAGCAGGCCTGCAGGAGGTGATATAAAACAAGAAAATTAAGGAAATGTTTGGTGGTTCGAAAGTCTATCGTATTCTAGAAAAAACGTATTTGAAAGTAGAGACATGGGTCGTCCTGGTACCTCATGCAGGGAAATACGCCATTGCAACGCCTCATTCAATCAGCTGGTTGTGTTTCGTTTGTATCTTTGTGCTCATGCATTGTCAGTTGTTAAATTAGATTACGTGTGACTGACGATGTTTGTGTTACAGCCGGCCTGAAGTAGTTTTTATTCTTTTAACGTTGTAAGCATGGATGTATGTAGTGAGTCGAAGTCCAAACCGTATCGCCCCTGCAGAAAACGGAATCCTTGATTTCATACATGACAACCCCAGAGTACTACATGCTTCTTCTATATTACAGTGTGGAGAATTTTAAAGGAACAGTTGCTGCATCCTTATCATTTGCAGCAAGCGCAAGTATTATAAGAAACTGATTTTAAGCTGCGGGTGGATTTGTGCCAGTCGCCAATAAAGTCCTTCAGATGCCAATCTTTCCTATGGGTAATATTTACATTCTTGGTTCTTCTTTGTACAGGATTCTCTGAAACAGTGCACGTATCAACCGCCTGTGCACAATGCCAACGATCGCTGCAAATGAACTTTGCCAAATGCCTGATGTTTTCGGGCGAGTGAAAAATAATTTTTGTAGTAGCTTTGAAGCTTCTCTTCTACCATGCAGTTCTAATTTTGAATAATCATTGTAGTGTAATTGTTTGGTCCTTATCATAATTTGCACTCAATGATTTAGTTGCACAACATCCATGCCTAGGACCGGCTTCGGATTGTAAATTGCTGTAGTTTTCATACAATCTTTGTCCATTAACCACGTTGCTGTACTCATCATGGACATCCTTATTGCATCTGGTTAATATCCTCTCTAATTTGCCAATTATTTCAGAAACACCCTATGTAGTTCAAATAATAGTTAGTTGCTACAAGTTACATGCTAAAACATCTAAATTAATAGTAAATAAATAATACACAATATTGAAAAACACGTTTTATATTATTATTACAATTGTTGATTACTATAAATCACTTATAATAAACTAAACCTAACATTTTCTTATACATTTAAACACATCTTATATTTATAATTCGATTATAAATTAAATACAATCTAAAAGATGCTCATTTAAATTGAATTTAAATGAAAAAACTACAACCACTATCGTATCTTGTAATTTTATTCCACTGAATTCATGTAATTAGTAACACTACAGAATAGTTTAAAAAGTCAACACATTTTTATAACTACATTTAAGTATAAAATTTAAAGTAAGCGAGAGATAAGCCACAACATCATTCAAGCATCAAAACTCCACTGAACCGATAGATCACATTTGCTTTATCCCTTGCAAGCCAACGCATGCTCGCACCACCACTACGCAGTAATCAATGAAACCACATATGCGCGCACAATATCGGGGTTTATTTTTAACTTTGAATCGCGTGTTATATTACACCATCCTAAAATGCCAGCTTATTCAGATTCAGCAGTGAGAAGTTATTTCCAAATCCAATAGAAGGAAAGGCAACAGCGAATGGGCATTTTATTTTTAAATTATTTGCAAAATTTAACACTAATTCAGCAAATTGTAAATTAAAAAGTTAGTACCTACGGACTTTACTCACAAATTGATTCCGCTTTCGAACTTTTTGAAACGTTGGTTTCTGGTAGTTCTCAACGTGTAAATCAAAAGTCTCAATGGGCGCTAAGTCGCAAAAATCCTATTAAAATGATCTCTTAAAAATTCATTTTCCGTAAGAACTTCGAAGGTACAATTATACTTACACGTTATGCATATGTTGATTAAACCAGGAATGGTAATGCACTCTGCAAAAGTGTAGTACACCTTGACGTCACAGTATACGTAATGGGGTAAGTTGGTGTAGTTAGGGGTATAACCATATTCAAAATGTATATTCTGTGTTGGTATTTGCTTACACTTTTGAGTACACCAACTTTCACCATAAATACACTATAACGTACTACAGTTTTGTATCAGAGTGCATCACCATCCTTGATCCGAAACCGTGACATATCCGTAATATGCAATACACAATAGGTATAACTGTACCTACCTCGGAAGTACTTATGTAAGAAAGCAACTTTAAAGGGTCCATATCTTAAAAAGATGAGCTTTTACGATTTAGCGCCCATCGATACTTTTGATCTACACGTCAAGAACCACGAGAATCCATAGTTTCAAAGGGTTTGACCGCGGCAAATTAAGTATTTTTGCCTATAAATGAAGGGTTTAAATTATTTTTATCTGCTTATTTAGTGTTTTATTGGCTGGTCATTATTTCGAAACCTACTGCCATTGAATCGATTGAAAAATTACAAATATCACATAGTTCATGTATACTAATTTATTACACAGCATTGAAAATCCATAAGGCTTATTTTTATACGCTCACAGTTCAATGTTAAGATAAGTGTTAAGAGTCTCGCTATTAGACTCTTAGTTAGTAGGTAGTAATGTTTTATCTGCGTAAACGTAAATATACAAAGGCGGGGTGAAAAGTTGACCAAAAAGGCTGACCCATATATGGCTATAAGTATTAAATCCATATGATTTTTAGTTAGCCCTACCTTTCAAAAGACATGTATATAAATTTGACAGCTGTTGCACTATTAGTATCTGAGTTAAAGCATTTTTAGTGAAAGAACTTTTGTTGTTTGAAAAAAAAGTGCTGTTTCATTAAGACAATGCACCGTGTCACAAATCAACGAAATCGATAGCAAAATTTCATGAATTGGGCTTTGAATTGCTTCCGCATCCACCGTACTCTCCAAATCTGACCCCCAGCGACTTTTTTCTGACCTCAGACCTCAAGAGGATGCTCGCTGGACAGAAATTTCGCGCCGATGAAGAGGTAATCGCCGAAACTGAAGCCTATTTTAAGGCTAAATACAAATCGTATTATAAAAATAGTATCGAAAAATTGTATGACCGCTGTAATCGTTGTATCGCCCTCGAAGGTAACTATATTGAATAGTAAAATCAAATTCTATCAAAAAAAATAATTTTTTTCTACGCTAGCCTACGAACTTTTCAGCCCGCCTGTTAGAAGTAAATTTCCTTGTGAGGAAAATTTTGATTAACGAACGTTTTATGTCAGTTTTCTACAGTTATTCATTCTTTTGATGTTATGAGACACATTAGAGCACGTAAACAAGCAGTTTTATGCATCCTTTTTGCAACATACTGGACACCTGTAGCATCTATTTAGACGATCAACAGGATTATTATTATGTCTTATTCCTTCCAACAGCAGTAGGATACGTTTTTTATTGGATGTACGTTTTTCCCAGACACGATTTGCGTTCTTTGTGTAGGTATAGCTCTCAATTTCCTACAGGACGTTGTTGTGGTAGCGCATATTCTGTACTTATACGTTAATTGCACGAGACACATTAATAATATACTTTAACAAACTAGTATTTCATGCTCAAGTTGTTTTTCTCGATTGTCGAGTCAATAACGCAACTTCTTCTTGTCAGAATAAAGAGCCACATGCTCGAGAGGAATAATCAACTTCTCCCGATTGCAGCGGCGGCGTATCACTTCGAAAATTAAAACGGTGTAAGTTTGTATCTATTTTATTTATTGCACATTTTCTCGTTATTTAGTAGGAAGAGATACGAAAAAATCCAATGCTAGCAAGACACAGAGTACGAAAGGCAGAAAATAATTTTCTTCTATTCTACAAAGATAAATAAGATCCAAGTAATGTAAATTAAGAGCAGTATTGTTTGGAATGTCGAACAGGAAGTACTAAAATTATTATTTTGTAAACATTTGGTGTCTTCTGATGGTGTACAACTCGGCCAAAATATNGCAGAAAATAATTTTCTTCTATTCTACAAAGATAAATAAGATCCAAGTAATGTAAATTAAGAGCAGTATTGTTTGGAATGTCGAACAGGAAGTACTAAAATTATTATTTTGTAAACATTTGGTGTCTTCTGATGGTGTACAACTCGGCCAAAATATTCGTAGTCGCAACAGAGGTATGCGCAGTGGCAAAGTGGAAGGGATATAAGTAGATACCATTCTGTTTAAAGTTGTTGAGTAGTGATTGTCGTGTACCGAGCGGCATGGCCTAGAGGTTTAGACCATTGCCTAGTATTCGGGAGGACGCCGGTTCGATTCCGGGTCCGTCTGCCTTGATCCAAGTTTTTCTGTGGTTTCCTAGGATCACTTAGGCAAATGCTGAGACAGTATTATTCCACAGATAATCTTTCATTCTCTTCTGTCTTCATTTCGTCCGTCT